GGAGGAGGAGGAGAGTTCAAATGGATTGTACTTGAATGGAATGTCACAGGGGGCATGGAATGGGATGGAATTGCTGGTGGTCACGAGAACGGGCAACAAAACACTGCAGACCCACCACAGTGAGCAGCCCAAGGTCTAGCCCTCACACGAAGCTCAATCAATGGCAGGGCTGGCACGCCGTCGCGCTGCCCCACCGACGGTCGGGGATCGAGGGTCGATGGTCGAGCCTCGAGGGACGAGAGGATCGAGAGTCGAGGGTCGAGGCGAGGGACGAGGCTCGAGGGCCGAGGGTAAAGGGTCGAGGCGAGGGTCGAGGGTCGAGGGGAGATCGAGCCTCGAGGGACCAGGGTCGAGGGTCTAGGCGAGGTGCGAGGCTCGAGGGGCGAGGGAGGCCGAGAATCGAGGGTCGAGGGTCGAGGCGAGGGTCGAGGATCTAGGGTCGAGGTTCGAGGACCGAGGATCGAGGGTCGAGGCGAAGGTCGAGGCTCGCGGGCCGAGGGTCGACGGTCGAGGCGAGGGTCGAGGGCCGAGGGACGCGGCCACGCGTCGGCACAGCCGAGGCCTCACGCGAGGACGTCGCGGCTCCTCGGCCCCGCGCGGCGGCGGCGGGCGACGGCGGCGGCCCCGCGTCCCCGAGGAGCTCGCCGGGTCGCGGCACGCGGCCGGCCGCCGCCTGGCGGCGGGCGGCCAGGCCTCCGGGCGCCTCAGCCGTCGCCCCGTGGCCGCCGCCGCCCGCCGTCGTCGCCGTCGCCGCCGCCGCCGCCGTCGTCGTCGCCGCCGCCGCCGCTGTCGTCGGTGCCGCCATCGTCGTCGTCGTCGTCGTCGTCGTCGTCGTCGACGTCGTCGTCGTCGTCGTCGTCGTCGTCGTCGTCGTCCTCGTCGTCCTCGGCGTCGCCCGACGGGGTGCAGGCGGCGGCCACGGCTGGAGATTCTCTCGCCGGTGTCGCAGAGGCGGCCGTGGCTACTACTGCAATGTCCCCAGAGATGGCCCGCCAGTATGTCAGACTGCTCGACGTCGACCCGCAGCGCGAGCGGGTGCTCTTCCACGCCTTCATGCAGTGCCTGGCGCGGGAGCTTCCCGAGGGCTGGAGCCTCCGATCGGATCCGCAGGGGCGCTGCTATTTCTGGCACTCCGAGAGCGAGCAGAGCCTGTGGACGCACCCGGACAACGACATCTACAGCTCCGTCGTCCGCATCTATCCGGAAGGCCAAAAGAGCTGCACGGGCACTGCCGCCAGTTGCCCTCCCCTCGTCGCCACGGCTGGATGTGCCTCGAGATATCCTGGCCGCAGCGCACCCCTTGCGAGGTCTGGGGAGTGTAGCGGTATGGGTACTTCTTTTTTAGGCCTCCCAGGTGGGGTCGGAGGATCTCGCCGCATCGCCGATGCATTGCCGATGCATCAGCGATGCGGCTTGATGCGGAGCCCGAATTTCCCCACGCCGACGTCGCCGATGCATCGCCAGTGCATCGCCGATGCATCGCCGGTGCATCGCCGATGCATCGCCGCGCCGATGCCGCGGCGATGCGGCGTGATCCTCCGACCCCATCTGTTCCCCATCTAGGAGGCCTCGAGTTTTGTTTTCCCAGGCATGCCCCCTCGGAGGTCCGCGCGGCGTGCTCGGGCCTGCCCTCCCCTCCTGGGCTCGAGAGGCGGGGGTCGGCGCAAGCACGGGGGGCCCGCCAGAGCGGCGGATTTTTTGCAGGGTCCTGCAGGGCCAGGGGCGCACTGACCTCGGCTAGGGTGCGGGCTTCTGCAGGACCCTGCAGGATCTTGCAGGATCCTGCAGAGCCCGACTGACCAGGGTCTGGATTGACCCGGGTCAGTGGATCTCCGACTCTCAGGAGGGGGAAAAGCACAAAGACAAAAATTCCTCGTCGATTCCCAGGACAGCACGGGAAGATAGGGGGAAGTGGGGTGGATGGGGGGGACGAACACCTCGAAAACAGCCGCACATGTGGGGATCCCTGGGAGTTGTGCGTCTCTGTTCGTGTGCCCCTGGGCCCCTCTGGCAGTGGATCCCCCGACGCCCCCGACGCCCCTCGCCGGGCGCGCCAGGGGCGCCGCGCCGGGGCGCCGCGCCGGGGGCGCCGCCAGGGGTGCACAGTTGCCGAGCGGGGCCCGGCGCCGACCGAGAGAGCCGCCCGCGCGGATCTCCCCGAGAGTCTGCGCCCGAGATCTCCGCCGCCGCGAGCGGGCTGCAGCGTCGCGAGCATCACCACCGGAGCCCTCCCCATCCAGGAGGGGGAGGAGGAGGAGGAGAGGGAGGAGGAGGGGGAGGAGGAGGGGGAGGAGGAGGAGGAGGAGGAGGAGGAGGAGGAGGATGAGGAGGAGAAGGAGGAGGAGGAGGCTGCAGCGTTGCGAACATCACTACCGGAGCCCTCGCCATCTTTCGGTAGCAGATCATGGGATCTAGGCCTCCTAGATGGGCTCGGCGTAGATGGGGTCGGAGGATGGCGCCGCACCGCCGATGCATCGCCGATGCGGCTCGATGTGCAGCCCGATTTGCTTCACGTCGACGTTGCCGATGCATCGCCCACGTCGCCGGTCCGTCGCCGACTTCTCCGATGCGTTGCCGGTGCATCGCTGTTGCATCGCCGGTGCATAGCCGATGCATCGCCGATGCATCGGCGACGCGGCGCGATCCTCCGACCCCATCAACTCCGACCCCATCGAGGAGGCCTCTAGGAGCCCTCCCCAGCCTTCGGTAGCAAATCTTGGAAGCCTCGTATGCCCCCGGATATTCCGTCTTTAGCGTCGACTCGCGTCGATATTAGCGTCTGGGAGTCGGTGAGATAGCGTCAATTTAGCATCTGCTTGCGTCGATTAGCGCTGATTTAGCGCCGATTCGCGTCGACTATCGTCGATGAGCGTCGATTCGCGAAAGTCGACGAGATGGTATGGGAGGCTCCCATGAGTTGCCACCGAACCATCCTTGTGTGGCATTTTCCGAGTAGCCGGATCGAGCTGCGCCGGCCCCCGGGCCCGCAACGGGGCGAGCACGCGCGGTGTGTGCGGGACTTGCACCGCCCAGATCTCGGGCTGCGTGCTCGTGCCCCCTCTTTCGGCCTTCTCCGCCATCGGCGCGCGCTCCAGCAGTCCGACGCGCGGCGGTACCTCCGCAGCCTGCTCTCCAAGGTGGAGCTCACCTCGCCGGAGGCGCAGACGCCGCACCGGTGGACCGGGCCCTTCCGCACGGGCGACGGGGCGGAGTACTGGCACGACCGAGAGACGGGCCTCAGCACCTGGAAGGACCCCGGAGGCGGAAGGGGTGGCCAGGACTGTGTTGGGGGGAGGGGGTGGCCAGGGGAAGGAGGAGGAGGAGGAGGAGGATGAGGAGGAGGAGGAGGAGGAGGAGGAGGAGGAGGAGGAGGAGGAGGAGGAGGAGAAGGAGGAGGAGGAGGAGGTCCGTAATTACCGACATCGACGCCCTTGCCTCGTGGTGGCCTCCTTCGGGCCTCTCTCGGGGGGCCCTCGTGGCCACGGCTGCAGTCGCCCCGACACGCTGGCCAGGGCGCGCCCCGCGAGAGAGGCCCCGGGAGTGGCGGCATCGGTGTCTCCGACATGCGATGGTTCCGGGGGCGGACAGAGCCCCCACCCCGACACGTCGATCAGGGAATTGTCCGTTCTCGGTTCTCGAGGGGGCGCCGCGGCCGTCACTTTCCAGGCCTGCGCCCGCCAGGTTGGGGCCCGAGGTCGTCTTCACCAGACCGCGCTTTGCTCAAAGGGGGTTCTGTCCATCCCCGATGTTTGATTTTTTCGATTCACGGTCACCAGAAGCCCCAGCCTTACACCATGGGCTGGGACTTGGCATCCCGAGCCGCTTTTGTGGACGGTCCCGGGGAGCCCCCAGCGAGGCGCGCCCCCGCGGTGTCCCCCAAAGCGGCGGAGCACCTCCCCGCAGCGAGTTTTTCCATGCTTCGGGTATGTCGTTTTGGATTCAGTCCCAGACATCGGGCGTCTCGAACAAAAACGAGACGGAGGTTTCGCACAGTCTTTGGCCTCTCGGGGCCCTCGTCGGGCCTCGGGACCGTCAGAAAACGGCTCGGGATGAGAAGCCGGTCCCTGGGGAGTGGTCGGGAGGTCGGGGGCCCGTGTCTCGAAAAAACCGTGTGTGTGTGTGTGTGTGTGTGTGTGTGTGTGTGTGTGTGTGTGTGTGTGTGTGTGTGTGTTGGTTTCTAGCAAGGTACGTGCGGACACAGCTTAGCGCAGGGGGTATGGGCGGGATTTCAGCAGCGCCTCCCCACCGCCGCAGCCATTTGCCTCAGAGGCTCCACAGAGGGCCGTGCCAGCAGCACACTGCGACGTGTACACCAGCGTTGAGTCCAGGACAAGTGATTGTACCTTTTGGCCCCCCCTGAACTTGAGTGGATCGATTCTTGCTCGGAGCTTCACTTTAGAGTTGGCTTCTTTCGCTCACTAAGCTCACGGCGCTTCCCAAACCTCCGATGTCTCGAGTCTCTCAATGCGCGGTCGCGCGAAGTCCTGAGCCTTTCCCTGTGGCCAGGTCTGCATCCTGAGCCGTTTTTTACGGTACCAGGGCCCGGCGAGGGCCCTCAGAGGCGGAACATTGCGCGAACTTGTCGTTCTGAGTTTCTCGAGATGTTGGAGGTCTGGGGTGGGAGTCGATTTGGGAGTAGCTCGCGCTGTTATTCCCATCAGCTCTCCTTGTCCTCTCCCAGCCCTGCGGCGGAAACAACTTTTTGGCTCCCCCCTCGCCGAGGCCATCTTGGGTCAGCCTGGGCGCCCTGACTGATCGCGATCCCCCCCCAAACGAAAACCCAGGAGAGGGGGGGATGTAAAAGACCTCCCGGAAAGGGACAAGTGGTTGTTGGACGAGGAAAGACAGAGAAAGGTATCGTTAGACCACCCTGCTAAATCTTACGGAGAAAAGCCGGGGGAGGCTTGTCCAAGGGGGGTTCTCCGGATCCTTGCGGGGGTTTGTCCGGGGGGCTTGTCCGGATTTTCCGGGTTGTCCAGATCCTTCAGGGGGAGGGTGTCTGGGGATTTTTCTGGGATCGGTTTCCATTGAGCATGGTGCAGTCGACCCGCATGGGAAGGATGGGCGACTTTCCCCAGGGTGCCCTCCTCGAGCCATCCTTGGCCACTTGCGTTGGCCGCGCCCCGCTCGAGAAACTTCGGAATTGCCTTCCAGGGCCCTTGCATCCTTACCGCGCATCCTTATAATACGGGTTGACTGTATCGGGTTGGCCCAAAGGGGGGTCCAGCGACAAGGGGATGGTAGAAATAAATTTGGTGCAGTAGCTATGTGGGGTTGCAGTACATTGGGGGCGTGCAATATTTTCTGGGGGGTACATACGTTGCTGGATTTCCGCGTGCAAAACATTCGTTGCAATGCAATGCAATGCAATACAATTTTCTGGCGCAGTACATTTGCAGCGCAATTGCCCCCCACACATATTGCACCACCCCCTTTCAGCTTGACCCACTTTTGGATCAACCCGAACTTTTCGTCTCGCCTCCATAGGACCCGCGCCCGGGGAACGCGCGGCGCCGCGCGCTGCGGCTGGCGCTGCTGCACGCCCTCCTCGCCGGGGCCGAGGAGGCGCCGCGGCCAGCCCAGGAGCCCGCGCAGGAGTCCGGGGCCGCATTGCTGTGGACACAAGACTCGGAAACTGGAACATATACATATCCAGTGGCGGGCTGTTTTTCAATCCCAGGACTTTTGAAGGTCGGGGACGACGCTGGGGTGGTGTGGTGTAGATTTTTGTCCCCGATGTCCCGGGGAAACAACGAAACATGTATACACCAGGGTCCCGTATACACCAGGATCCGCTCCCCATTGCAGATCTCAATGCAGGGCCGGAAAAGGCGTCGGTAGATAGAGTTCGATTCCTTAAAGAACTCAACAGCAAAAACAATAATGGTTCGTGGGAGGTCCCGCGCGCCCCCCCCTGTGGGAGGGGGTCCCGAGGGCCCTTCTGAGGGGGCGGGGGGGCAGGCGGGGCGGGGGAAAACCCAGCGAGCGCACGGCGGTCGGCGCAGGCCAGTAAGTAGATGGTGAATCGAGAAGCACTGGACGCACACAGGCTTGGTGGCTGGCTTGTGAAGTCGGGCATGTCCCTCTGCAGGAGGAGCATTCCAAAATAGTGAGAATTAGCTTGGCAAAGGAGTTGCGAATGCCGCAATTGTGAATACCGTCTTCGCCCGCGCTCCATCTGAATGTGGCCACGGCTTCCCGCCGGAACCCGACATGCTCAGGGACACGTTCGTGGCCGTCTTCGCGGGCGCCGACGACGACAAGGACGGCGTCCCTCTGCCCGAGGAGCAGAAGCAGGAGAGGGCTTTGAGAGCCATGAAGGAGGAGGCGGCGTTGCACGTCGACAAGGCGGAGTACGACGCCCAGGCGCGGTTGTTGAAGCAGCACAACTATTGGGCCACGATCCTCGTGAGGGGTGTGCCGCTTTGGCACGGGGCCGCCATGCGAACCCCGAAACGGCCCGAGGCCGCCATGCGAATTTTGCCACTGGGGCTTTCGGTGGAGCTCCCTGTGGGGCCACGATCCTCGTGAGGGGTGAGTTGAAATGGCCCGGGGCCGTAATGTGAACCCTGCCACTGGCGCCTTCGGTGGAGCTCCCTATGGGGCCGCGATCCTCGTGAGGGGTCCGCCGGAATGGCCCGGGGCCGCCATGCGAGCCCTGCCGCTGGAGCCTTCGGTGGAGCTCCCTATGTGGCCATGATCCTCGTGAGGGGTGACCGACATGGCCAGAGGCCGCCATGCGAACCCTGCCATTGGGCGCCTTCGGTGTAGCTTCCTATGGGGCCACGATTCTCGGGAGGGGTGTGCCGAAATGGCGCGAGGCCGCCGTGCGAACCCTGCCGCTGGGGGCCTTCGGTGGAGCTCCTACGGAGCCGCGATCCTCGTGAGGGGTGTGCCGAAATGGCCCGAGACCGCCGTGCGAACCCTGCCACTGGGGGCCTTTGGTGGAGCTCCCTATGGGACTACGATCCTCGTGAGGGGTGTGCCGAAATGGCCCAGGCCGCCATGCGAACCCTGCCACTGGGGGCCTTCGGTGGAGCTCCCTTATGGGGCCAAGATCCTTGTGGGGGGGTGTGCCGATATGGC